TCACATTTATACATGTTTCCGTAATACATAATATATATATATATATATATATTTAAATATGAAATCACCTATTTTCTTTCATCTATTTGATAAAAAACCCCTATCCATGTACATTCACAAAATACTATAAAACATGCTTAGATTTAAAATAATTTCATGCACTAGATAGCATACTTCTGCACACTTACAATAAATTGTCAAATAGAGAAAGTGATTCAATTACCTCAACCCTTCTATCACAAGAAAGGTTACTCGTGGATTCAACAATCACTACAAGCCTTTCTTCATACTCTACCCATGGATTATGCCAATCAACACACAATTGAAATTATTATTCAATTGACCAGGAACACTTAATTATCAATTATGGCTACAACTAGCCATCCATTCTTTTCTACTTATCCATTCTAGGTTCATTACCACTTAATTACCACTCTACAATACTTCAAACAATCCCATTTCACTTTTACTCAACTTCCTACAAATCACAACACTTCAAACAATCCTATTTCACTTTTACTCAACTTCCTACAAATCTCTTTAGGTTTAGAGCAAATAGAGCCTACAACTTCAAAGCTCTATCATTCAACTTTAAACCAGTTATAAAGCTCTAACTTAATTCTTGAGAATCTTTGTATTACTATAGGGTAAAAAAAACCCCTTGAATTTCACCGATTCAATTTTTCTATAACTCATACTAAGAGAAATTATAGTATAATTAGTGGTAAGGGTCGTACAAAGCTTACTTGAGAAGTTACTAGTTGGAAATCTCTTCAAAGCTCCTATGAATGCACGCCCTAGCTGAGATCTCTCCCTTCTCCACTCTCTTTTGAGTTTCTCTTCCCTTTCTCTCTAAATTCATAAGCTATCCACGCACTTATTAGGTCACTTTATGTGCCATGTGTAACATTCAAAAACTTTAAACATGGAATAAATTGACTAATTAAGGGATAAATTAGTTAAAAATGATTAATTAGTTTAATTATATTTTTAAGTTGCTAATTGGCTTCTTGGGTCATATTTGGCTCTAAATTGAGTTAGGATGGGAGTTGGATCGAATTGGGTGGCATTGGTAGGAGAAAAAGTGATCTTTTGCTCTTTGCATCATGAGCCATGGCTTGTGTGTTGTGTCCTGCGGTGCACGGTGCAACATAGGCATAAAATGTGAAAATACTAAAAAAAAGTCAGTTTTAGTGGGAGAAAGCTTGGAACTCGAAGGAGAAGATTCGGGCACTATTAGGGCTTCATTTTAGGAGGATTTTGAAGTTAAATTAGGCCTTCAAAATCTTGAGTAAGTGTTCCACTCTTCTCCTCTACCTTTTCATCTCCTTTTCTTTAGATTTAGGAAGGGAGTAAATTTGCTCTGGATGGATTAAAATATGAGTCTATATTTTAAAGACTTTAAGTGAATCTAAAGGTTTAATTTAAGTTTTTCAACCTTGGATAAGTGGTAATATGAAGCTTAGTTGTTCTTTGGTGTAAATTAGATCAAGCCTTAGCTTGATTATGGGGTTTTGAGGTGTGACAAGTTGAGATGTCAAGTGTTATATTGTGATAGAGTTAGAAGGAGGCTTGAAGGGATTGTGTGAGAAAATTATAATCTTGACAAGCCTCTTTGTTGAGAACATGAGTGAGAAGTGGGAGAATTAGGGATGTTATTAGTAGCTAATAGTGCTTGTGTTAATTGAAATTTAACATATACTACTTGTTGATGTAGATTGTGGTGTGGGAAAACTTGCCTTGGCACAAGAAGAGATTTAGTACCACGGGTAACCCTTTTAATAACAAAAGGGTTGAGGTAACTAAATAATTTACATTATTTATTACTTTGTATAAGTTATTCTCAAGTTGTTCTTATATGACTTGTTATGTATATATGTATAAATTTTGTAAAAATTAACTATTTTAGAAAATGAATGGGATATTGATCTGTAAAATGTTATGTTTTTGAAGTAAATGGTAAGATTAATTATATTGGTTTAAAAAGTGATTTATGCATGGTCAAGTGGAGATATGTAGTGAAATATGGCATATTAGAGGGTAGGAGGTCACCCTAGTGGAGTTAGTGAACATTAAGTTTATATGGCACTGCTAGTACCTTGAGATACTAGGTGTAGCTCATATTTCTCCTTAGTGCTCAAAAAGGGTGCGATATTAAAGACTTACTCTCCTTAGTACCCAAAAGGGTGCGGAGTTGGAGATTATATTCCTTAGCATCTGTAGGATGTGAAATTGGAGTAATGACACCACGATTACTTGTAATAGGGGGAACCAGTGGTTCAGAAGTGATTTAAGACACCTTGACTGGGTAGTCCTATCATGGATAGTGAGCTTGGGGACCATACATGTAGTATAGTTCTATAAAATAGACTACTGGTTTGGTTAAGAGTAATGGAAGACTGAATGATTAGTGATCATGCATTTGAATTGTGGTGACTGTATATGACATGTTTTTATGCTTATTTTAAGGCTTGTTTATAACTTGGCATGTTAATCACTAATGCAGGCTATCTTAGTTATCAAGATTTTTATCTCACCCCGTGGTTATCATTTTACAAGTTCTGTTGTTTAGTCTGAGCAAGGGAAGGAATCGGGCAGGGGCTAGCATAGTTGCTACATTACAATTGTAATGCCTGATTTTATTTTGAGTTATGTACGTAAACTTATATAGATGATAATATGAGTTGCCAACTAAGAATACATGTCATTTTTATTGGTTGCACTTGCATTATACTATGATGTTTTGTATTTTAGCCTAACATTATATATGATGTGAATATGTGGTGATGGGCTAAAATACTAATACAAGTGCAAGAAATTTTATATACACATGGTAATAATGTATATGTGGTGTATTATGTGGCAATAGAGGCCAAATAGTGTATGTGGCAGTGATTTTGTGTTTTTGGCCATATTAGGTGAAATTGGAATTAAGTGGCCAAATTTTGTGTTTGGTATGTTTTTGTGTGTTTAAATGCTTAATCAGGTTTATTTTGGTCAATTGGACTTGGTTCAAGCCTCAAAATGGGTTAATGATATAAGTTTTGAGTTTTGGATACTTAAATGCATGAAAATCATTTTAAAAACTGACTTTTACATCCAAGTATCTAAAATTCTCATACGGTGTTAGATCATAATACCATTAGTTAGCTTATTAAATAAGCTTCATGTGAGTGCTTGAATCACTCCAATTAGACATCGGAGACAAAAATGGCATGCACGCGAAGTTTGCCCTAAAAAGCTATCATGATAGCATTTTTGCTATCCTGACAGGGACACGTGAGGCTAAATTGGCCTTTTTGTACCACATGTAGAGGCACATGGATCACGAGCCACGGTACATGTACCAAAATACTCAAAAATGATGTTTTTGGCCCTATTTTCAAGTGTTTTGCTTCTCAAAACTTTTCCATGCTTCCCATATCTTTATAAATCATTAAATTTGAGCTCAAACTATTTATTTGAAGGGATTTTATGGGATCCCAAATATTCTAAAATTATTTCTAAAAGATTATTAGTTTTAACCCTTCTATATTTAATGTGAGCTTAGGAGCAAGGATTGCTCCTAATTATGATTTATTGTTGTGATTGTGTGGTAAATGTTGGTAATATCAATGTGGAAATTACATTTTGGTATCAGTTTCTTTAGTTTTGAGATCTAGTTGTTGTGATATGTCTATTGCATTCATTTTCATTAGTTGGCAACTTTATGTACATAACTCTATCTCTTTGTCTCATTTCCTTGAATTTCCTACTAATTCCCCTTCTTTACTTGGTTTCTTCCTTAAGAGGGGAGAAAAATGGTTAGAAGAAGCACCTAGAATGTCAGCAATCCACCTAGCAACTTACCGGAGAATGATAGGCCTATACCAGAGGTATAGCCAAAGATCCAAGCAGAACAACAACAAAGGCCCTAGGGTAATAATGCAATTCTAGAAGAATTGCGAGATATAATAAGAAGTATTCAAAGAACTATTTGTGAAAAAGAAGGATGGCAACCTAGGATTATGTAACGACTACAGGAAATTAAACAAGGTGACAATAAAGAACAAATATCTAATCTTAAGGATAGATGATTTGCTATATCAACTAGTGGGAGCTTTAGTGTTTTTCAAGATCAATTTACAATATAGATATCATCAGTTGAGAGTGAACACAGAGGATGTGCCCAAGATAGCGTTTCGCACTTGATACGGTCACTTTGAGTTCTTGGTGATGTCGTTCGGGTTGGCGAATGTGCCTGCAATTTTTATGGATTACATAAACTGTATATTATGTCCCTTCTTAGATCAATTTGTTATCATATTCTTAGACGACATACTGATATACTCTAAGGATGAGGAAGAACATGAGAGGCATTTGAGAACTGTGTTAAGAATTCTGAGAGATAACTACTTATATGCCAAGTTGAGCAAATGTGAATTTTGGCTATAGGAGGTAAGATTTCTCGAACATGTGGTGTTAGCTAAAGGTATTTCATTAGATCCTCATAAGGTGGATGTGGTATTGTAATGGGAATGACCAAGTTAAGTAATTGAGGTTTGAAGTTTTCTGGGTTTAGCAGGTTATTATAGAAGGTTCATTCAAGGATTCTCAAAGATTGTTATTCCTTTGACTCGATTGACAAGGAAGGATCAGCCTTTCATCTGGGATGATTAGTGTGAATTCACTTTTGTGAAGCTTAAAGAAAAGCTTACCTTGGCATCAGTATTGATAATTCTCGATCCACGGTTGCCTTATAAGGTTTACACAGATGCTTCTTTGAAAGGTCTGGGGTGTGTGTTGATGCAAGAAGATCGAGTAGTGGCATATGCATCTAGACAGTTGTGACCTCGTGAGGAGAGTTATCTAACACATGACCTAGAGTTAGCAACTGTAGTGTTTGCTCTTAAGATTTGGCGACATTATCTCTATGGTGTAGAGTTTAATGTGTGCAGTGATCACAAATGTTTGAAATATCTTGTGGATCAAAAGAACTTAATATGAGACAAAAGCGATGGATGGAATTCCTGAAAGATTACAATTTTGAGTTTAAGTACCATTCACATAAAGCCAATGCAGTGGCAAATGCTATAAGTTGGAAATCACTTCATGTGTCTGGATTGATGATTCAAGAACATCAGTTGTTATTATCTTTGTTAAAAGTACAGCTTGAGGCATTAGATTATACTTTGAATGTAGTTTACTCGACCACAATTTCCAATGAATTTTGGAAAGAAATACAAGAAGCTCAGTTGCAAGACAAGTTTTTGTTGAAGGTACGAGACGATATAGAAGAAGGTCGTACTACTTTGTTTTGGTTCAGTGATGACAGGTTCATCCTGTATAAAGACCAAATTTGTATACCTATGGATGAAGATATCAAAAGGAGATTGTTAGAAGAATCTTACCGAAGCAAATATACTATACATCTTGGTGTGACCAAGATGTACTATTACATAAAGAAGTATTGGTGGTTGCAAGGTATGGAGAGGGATGTTTCTGAGTTTGTAAGCTAGTGTCTCACGTGTCAGATAGTGAAGATAGAGCATCAAAGATAGGCTTTTACACTACAACTTCTAGAAATTCCCTAATGAAAGTGGGATAATATTTTAATGGACTTCATGTCTGCTCTATTGAGAACTTAAGCAGTATATGATTTTGTGTGGGTTGTAGTAGATCGATTGACGAAGTCAGCACACTTCTTGCCTAATAAAACCACCTACAGTATGGAAAAGTACACAAAGGTGTATGTGAGAGAGGTGGTGAGATTGCACGGTGTACCCAAGGATATAGTGTCAGATAGAGATCCCCAATTTGCTTCGATGTTCTAGGGAGCATTGCAGAAGGAAATGGGCATCGAGTTGACATTTAGTACCTCTTATCATCCACAGACTGATAGGCAGACCGAGTAAACAATACAGACTTTGGAGGATATGTTATGGTCGTGTGCCCTTAAGTAGAAACATAGCTGGGAAAGCCATTTGCCTTTAGTTGAGTTTGCCTTCAATAGCAGCTTTTACTCGAGTATTTAGATGGCACTGTACGAGGCATTGTAAGGGAAGAAGTGCAGATCACCCTTATGTTTTGTTGAATTAAGTGAAAGGAGTGTGATTGATCTTGATATTGTGGATTAGACCACCAAGAAGATTAGAGTTATTCAACAAAAACTTCCGACTGCCTAAAGCTGTCAGAAGAGTTATGCTGATAAGCGGCATCAACTGTTAGGGTTTGAAGTGGGAGATCATGTGTTTCTTTGAGTTTCTCCTTTGACTAGTATTGGTAGGTCTATAAAGGCCAAGAAACTAACACCTCGTTATATGGGACTGTACCTGATTCTGAGTAGAGTAGGTCCTGTAGCGTATAGGATCGCTTTACCTCTGCCTTTATCTAGTATACATGACGTGTTTCATGTGTCATAATTAAAAAAGTATCAACTGGATTCCTCACACATGATTAAGCTAAAAGAAGTAGAACTTTAAGAGAATCTTACTTATCGTGCTGAACCGAAACGGATAGCGGACCTTAAAGAGAAGTAATTGCATAATAAAACTATCCAATTGGTTAAAGTATTTTGGCGAGGAATGGCTCTGAGTGATGTGACGTGGGAGAGAGAGGAGAGTATCAGAAGGCAATACCCTCACTTGTTCCCATAAGGTGAGTTTGTGCTTGTATTTGAATTGTGGGGACAAAATTTCTTTAAAGGAGGGGAGAACTGTAACATCCTAAATTTGAATTCCAGGAACTAATTGCTAATTAAGGGTAAATTAGTAATTAGTAGATTGATTGTGATTTAAATGTGGAGTTGATAATTTGTGTTGTTTAGGTGTTACATTAATAGGATGAAAAGATTAAGAGACAATCCAAGGTTTAAGGCACAAGCAAAAGTAAGATTTTTCTCACAATGCCAAGCTACGGTGGAAGTTGCATATACTACAGTGCATGGTACAGAATTTGTACTTGAGAGGTTAAGTCAGATCATGAAAAATAGAAAGAGAAAGAGGGGGAGTCATACGTGAGAGGTGGAGAAGCTTGGGAACTGCTATGGCAAGCCATAAGTTGAGCTCTGGAGTCTGCTTTGATTAATAACTTACTGGGTAACAAATGCATAGCTTTATGCTTCAATTCTACCCTTTTTTTATTGAATTTCATCAGTTAAGAAATCAAACCATAAGATTCTAAGGTGTTGTAATCTAAAGGAAAGAGTTAAAATGGGATATTGAATATAAAACTAAGGTTTTGTGACTACTATGGAGTTGAATGGTTGAGTTTTGAGCATTTAGGCTCAAAATAACCTAAAAGTTAGGTCAATAAGAAGAATTTGGGTGAATAGATGTGTTAGGGAGTTGTTATGGTTGTTTGAGTAGCCTATAAGACTAGTGACCATGAGTAATGGGTAAGTGAATTGAAAAGGGTTCAATTGAACTATTTTATGTGTTAGGGAATTCAGTTTAGCCAAATCAATGCCTATGAAATGTGTTGAGAATTAACTAAGGGGTACTGTGCTATGTAGAATCACATCTATTCCTTTCATTTGAATACAAATCATATTGATGCTAGAAATTCTACCCTCAAATTGAATATCTAAGACCTAGGGAGGTTAGCTAATTAGGTTAATTGGCTTAGGATAATTTTCTTAAGTCATGACAGCTTTAGTCAAGAGGAAAGGGAAGCTAAACTTAGCCTAATCATGAGAAGATAATGAGTCCAAAATCAACTAATCTCTAGGGTTCCATTATTGTAAAAAGGAAAGTTCATTTCACTCACTTTCACTAGCATTTTAATTACTTGCATATTAGGTAATTAGTTTAGATAATTAGCTAGATAACTAAATTCCTACAAACTTTGGTTGATTTATTTCACTAGATAACTTTCAATTAGACTTAAAACCATTCCTTGGGAGATGACCTAGGGTTGGCCCTATATTGCATTAGGGTTAGCTTTAGTGTAATTTTGAGGATAAGCGACTAATTTCCTATCAACTGCCTAAAGCTGTCAGAAGAGTTATGCTGATAAGCGGCATCAACTGTTAGGGTTTGAAGTGGGAGATCATGTGTTTCTTTGAGTTTCTCCTTTGTCTAGTATTGGTAGGTCTATAAAGGCCAAGAAACTAACACCTCGTTATATGGGACTGTACCTGATTCTGAGTAGAGTAGGTCCTGTAGCGTATAGGATCGCTTTACCTCTGCCTTTATCTAGTATACATGATGTGTTTCATGTGTCATAATTAAAAAAGTATCAACTGGATTCCTCACACATGATTAAGCTAAAAGAAGTAGAACTTTAAGAGAATCTTACTTATCGTGCTGAACCGAAACGGATAGCGGATCTTAAAGAGAAGTAATTGCATAATAAAACTATCCAATTGGTTAAAGTATTTTGGCGAGGAATGGCTCCGAGTGATGTGACGTGGGAGAGGGAGGAGAGTATCAGAAGGCAATACCCTCACTTGTTCCCATAAGGTGAGTTTGTGCTTGTATTTGAATTGTGGGGACAAAATTTCTTTAAAGGAGGGGAGAACTGTAACATCCTAAATTTGAATTCCAGGAACTAATTGCTAATTAAGGGTAAATTAGTAATTAGTAGATTGATTGTGATTTGAATGTGGAGTTGATAATTTGTGTTGTTTAGGTGTTGCATTAATAGGATGAAAAGATTAAGAGACAATCCAAGGTTTAAGGCACGAGCAAAAGTAAGATTTTTCTCACAATGCCAAGCTACAGTGGAAGTTGCATATACTACAGTGCATGGTACAGAATTTGTACTTGAGGTTAAGTCAGATCATGAAAAATAGAAAGAGAAAGAGGGGGAGTCATACGTGAGAGGTGGAGAAGCTTGGGAACTGCTATGGCAAGCCATAAGTTGAGCTCTGGAGTCTGCTTTGATTAATAACTTACTGGGTAACAAATGCATAGCTTTATGCTTCAATTCTACCCTTTTTTTTATTGAATTTCATCGGTTAAGAAATCAAACCATAAGATTCTAAGGTGTTGTAATCTAAAGGAAAGAGTTAAAATGGGATATCGAATATAAAACTAAGGTTTTGTGACTACTATGGAGTTGAATGGTTGAGTTTTGAGCATTTAGGCTCAAAATAACCTAAAAGTTAGGTCAATAAGGTGAATTTGGGTGAATAGATGTGTTAGGGAGTTGTTATGGTTGTTTGAGTAGCCTATAAGACTAGTGACCATGAGTAATGGGTAAGTGAATTGAAAAGGGTTCAATTGAACTATTTTATGTGTTAAGGAATTCAGTTTAGCCAAATCAATGCCTATGAAATGTGTTGAGAATTAACTAAGGGGTACTGTGCTATGTAGAATCACATCTATTCCTTTCATTTGAATACAAATCATATTGATGCTAGAAATTCTACCCTCAAATTGAATCTCTACACCCTAACAAGCTTTACTAGTGATGTTAGACAATCCAGAAGGCGTCATCACTTTAATAAGCATGAATAACTCTACCAAATATAGATGCAACTGATCCACATACTCCTCATATACAAAGGAATGTGTGGCACTAGAATCAACCAAAGCCTCAATTTGGTGACCACAAATAAAAATCATACCTCAGATCAAGTTCGGAGACCCTCTTCCTTCTTCCTATGTGACTGCAAAAATTGGGCTAGGAATCATAGATTTCTTCACAATCACCTTAACTTTGCCCTTTGGATACTGCCTTGCCAAATGTCTCAACTTGGTGTCATTGCTATGCTAGAGGTAACTTGAGTACACTGACAAGTAGTTAAACCTCTGGATAAACTCTTCCTTATCCAAGTCTCCCTGCTTAAATGCATGAAACTCTTCTTCCTTTTCTGTTCTAAATGAGATTGGAAAATAATGGTTGAAGAGTATCTTCTTAAACTTTTCCCGACCTGGACAAATACCACCGGTCGACCTTACTGACTCCCACCACCTCTTAGTAGCTCTAACTAATTGCACTATGGCCAAGATAACTTTCTGCTTAGGGGTATAGACCATAACTTCAAAGAGAGTCTCTAAGAATTCAATCCATAGTTTTGCTTCCCCCTATCCCATACTTCCATTAAATGTCGATGGGTTGAATTGATAGAGGATTGGATGAATAAATATTCACCATATATGAGTTTAGATTGTTACATGATCTACTTTATATTTTACATGTTATACACTTGGTTTTTGACACCAAATAGTGCATATTAGAGTTTATTTTCCAGTTTTTACCTGTGTTTCGTATATTGACTTCATAAACCCTAATAATGCTACTTGGTTGTACTTTGATACGAGAATGCTTAATTGGATTTTTGGGCTTAAATTCTCTTTTCCTTTCTTTTTAATTGTCTTAGCATTTATTTAGTCTTGTGCCTTTTGTTTTTAGATTTTTCAAGAAGTGAATTTGGAGCTAAGAGACTAAGTCAAGTCAACCTTATTTGAGAAATTAAGTGTAAATGGAGAAGGGCTGATTGGGCGTCCAATTTCAGAATTAATCAAGAGTGATGTGGCATTATATTTTTAGCAAGGAAGATAGTATAAATGGTGCCTAATTACAAAATGTGTGAGGAATAATTAAGTCTAGACCTAAGAGTATTAGAAGCATGGGAAACACATCATCATAGGTCAAATGGAGCATGGGAGGCATGATTTAAGCTGGATCTAAGAGGGAAATGAGGCAATAGCTGAAGCATGACTTGTATTGAGTCACATGGTCCATGCATTGGTTCACATTGCTCATGCTCTCCATTTCCAGCTCATTAGGCGCCACTTTCATGCAATTTTCCAGATTTAATATTTAATTTTAATTAATTTTATCCAACTGGAATAACTGATTTAGATTTTAGCCTTAGAATCATCAC